TCTGCCGCCCAGGAAGCGGGAGCGCGAGGGAGGGGAGAGGAGTTACCTGCCGGCGTCAGGTCGGCGCGGCGAGCTCCGTCCGGCCCCCTCCGCGCCCGCACCCCCGGGGCGAGGTGCCGAGCGGAGCGAGGGCGGGTGCGGGGACCAGTTCCAACAAGCCCGCGGTCCTGTCACACCAAACTCCGTGCAGCCAGAGAGCCTCGGAACCTGTCTGAACTCCGACACCCAACCCCCCGCCGGCAAAGTCTGAGCTTTCTTTCCTGCCCGCCCTCCGGCCAACCCGGCAATGACTCCCGGTCCCCACGGTCCCGGGCGAGCAGAGACCTGGGAGGGCGGTGGCGCTCACCTGGGAGAGGGTGGGCCTGGCCGGGCCGGGCTGGGCTCCCATTCCCCGCCCTTCCTGCGCTCCGCGTGCACCCAGGGGAGGCCCAGGGGCCGCAGGATGAGAGCCAGGGTCCCCCCACCCCCGAGAGTGGGGCGGATGCAGCCCACACTTGATCATTGGCATCAGCAGCCAGCAATGCAGACCCCTACCCGACCCCCTGAGAGTTAGTTGCCCGGCTTGGAAAAGACAGGAAGTGGAAAGGTGGAAGAAAGAGTGCTTGTGCATTTATCCTTTTCTAGGAAAGAAGAATTTTAAGTATCGTTAAAGATTTGGTTCCAACGTGGGACTGCCCTGGTTACTGACTTGGAATGAAAAGACACTGTTTTGCTTTTTTGTTTTGTTTGTTAATCTTTACCCAAGGATATTTTTTCCATTGATTTTTAGAGAGAGTGCAAGGGAGGGAGGGGGAGAGAGAGAGAAACATCCATGTGACATGATCAGTTGCTTCCCGCATGGCCCTGACTATTGCCAGGGATCAATCAAACTTGCAGCCCAGGTACGTGCCCTTGATGGGGAATGGAACCCAGCACCCTTTGGTTTGTGGGCCTGTGCTCTAACCACTGATCCACCGACCAGGGTGAAAAGACACTGTTGAAAAGGAACACATGAGTGATAGGTCACCCTAAGTCAAATGCTATGTGTCAAATGTTATGGCATTAGAAGCTTTATAATTTGGTTTTAATATAAAAACAAGTTAATAAAATTTGTTTTCATTTCCTTGTCTACATTTCAGTAAGTAAATTATGGGTTTCTAGTAATTGTATAACCATATAGTCTTCAAGATGTAACTATTAGCAGCAAGTGGTAAAAATGCAGCCTCCTGGAGGAAAAATGGAACTAAGGGTAATAATAGGCATTTAAGCTTCCAGCATGATATCTAAATTACCAAAAATTGGTTAAAATTAATTTTATAGCTATTTTGTTCTGAATAAAATACTTGGGGAATACTCAACTATTGGGATTCGAACTAGGTCTTGGCTGGTGAGGGGACTTCCACAGGAGAATGAAATTTACATATTCTAGAGGGTGAAGCAGAGCAAAGGTCAAAGGCAGAAAGTAAAAGTGAGTTTCAGGACAGTCTAAAACTCAGCTCCCAGATTGTGGCATCTGTGACCTATGGTTTCTTTTTTTCAACAGCATATAGAGAACTGTTTGACAAATTTAACCTCTTTTTCTGTTTCTGCTAATCTCCATGTCTCACCTTTTAATATATATATATATTGTAATTCTGGTCTTCATTTCCGACATGCCAGTATATGACTCACTCAGTGTATATTCCCTGCATGGCACTTTATTTGTTGGTATGCTTTTTCAGTGCTCAAAAATAATTCTGGATGTTTCTTAAAGGAGCAATATTTGTGAGCATTTTGAGACCACATTCACAAATATACACTTATTTATAAAAACAGCAAGAATATTTAGACTCAACAAGTTAAAATGGGCCTATGGGAACTCTAATTTTATTGATAGGCATACATACATAAATCAAGGAAAATCACAAGGAAGGATTCTACTACAGTGCTAATTATTCAGAGCAAATAAAAGTGAGGACAATGTAAATGAAGAGGGGCCATTCATTAAAGGCACTATGGGAAGGGCTTTCCATCCTTAGTGGGATAGGAGAATGTATAAAATTGGCTGAACCCATTAAGGAGCCTACAAGTTAGGCGAGGAGAGAAGACACGTGCACAAGGAAAAGGGGCTAATTAGTACCAAGCCAGTGTCAGGAACTTTAAGTGCAAAGGACTCCAGTCCTTTCAGAGGTAAGAGGAAGAAATGATTAACTGCTTAGATCACTGGAGTATGCTGGCAAGACTTCACAGAGCTGCTGGAATTTGAATTGGGTCCTGACAGATGAGCAGACTTGACAGGAGTCTGAGACTGACATCTGACTAGATGCTGAATGTACAGAGTAAAGGCTGGACATGAGAAAGTTCCAGGACCGTACAAAGCAATTGCCAGATCTGGCCATGGGCGTGGCATGCTGTGTGTGGAAGGTAAGTTTGGGAATCAAGTTTAGAGTCATTTTCTCACCTACAGAGTGAGATCAGTATTATTTACGATCTAGGATTGTTATGAGAATTATGAATTAGAAACAGTTTATGTAGAACCCTTATCACAGCACCTGATATATGGTAAGGCACAATAAGCGGCCACTATAATTATCCTGGGGGTCCGGACTGTGAAGGGACCTGATTGCAAGGTGAAGAACATGGCCTTGTGTCTACTGATGGTGTGAGATAATGAGTCATTTCACAGTTGGTGACCTTTACTAGAAATACTAGGGAGTCATGAAGAGCAGTTTGGCCCAGCTGTGGTAGAGAGGAAGGGAGAGGGAGAGAGAGAGAGAGAGAGAAGAGAAAGGGAGAGAGAGAAAGAAAGAGAGAAACATCAATGATGAGAATCATTGATCGGCTGCCTCCTGCATGTCTCCCCACTGGGTATCGATCCCACAACCTGGGCATGTGCCCTTGACTGGAATCGAACCTGGGACCGTTCAGTCTGCAGGCCGATGATCTATCCACTGAGCCAAACCAGCTAGGGCCAAAGGTTATTTTTAAGGTGTTGGGGTCCTCGCTGTATAGGCACTCAGAGAAAGACGGTGGAGAGGAAGCAGAGAATAGAAAGACTAGTAGGTAAGGAACAAGGTCCAGATGGTGTGAGCAAGGAGACAAAAAACTCGGGCTTTCTATATGAAAAAATGACCTTAAAAATCCTCAGCTCTGATTTATTTTTACAATAGATAGGTTATATTAAAAACAGAAACTAAAATTAGAATTTTACAATTAATACTTAAAACCTAACTTAGTGAATGAGAAGATTGTACTCATGGTTAAGAGGCCCCCAAAGCAGTATTTATTGATAAAATAGCAAGTCAATCTTCATTGGCTCTTTATTCCATTCTATAAAATTTAGTCTGAAGTTCAAGAACAAAATAGTGGACATGTTAAATTATATTCAACAGACCTCAATTTACCTCCCATTTTGAGTTCAAGTACACCAGGGGATTCAAAAGCAGTAGCAGGTATTTTTTTCTGTCCTCAAAGTAATTATAATTTAATGGAGAAGACAACACATATATGAAATAGAATAATACAAAGAGTAACATAGATATGCACAAAAATACAGATAAAAATAAAAGATGCATACATTACAGAAGAGAGGAAGCCACTACAGTTTATTGGGAAAGAAAAATTATATCCTTTGTGACTTTTTTTCTAATTGTTTATATTGCTTTTAACAAGCAGGTTCCTTAAAAAATTCTTAACAATATGATAAGAAGCTATTTCATTGGGTTATAAGGCCTCAATCATTATTTGTAGATAAAAGTCTTTATTTGTAGATTAAGCTCCTAGTCCCTTCAAGAGCTCTGAAATATTCATATTTTAATGTGCTTCAAGAGAATGGCCTCCAGGCAGATAAAGCCATTGATACAGAAAGAATGTCATGTCTAACATTTCCCCAAGTACTTTGGGGAAGTGAAGAAGCAAAACCTGTTAGTGTTGGCAAAACCTATTACTGGACGAATCATAACATTAGTTTAATAGTATTATGACACTTCATGTAAGACTACTGTGAAAATAATTGAAATGAACACTGTAATCATTTCATATATCTGCCATATTTAAATAGTTACAGAAAGTATTATGTGTCATTAATTCAACAGATATTTATTGAGAGTTTTCTGTAGGAAAGACATTGTTTCAGGCACTGGTTGGGGCACAGGATGAAAAGATTAATAAAAGCATAGTAGGTATAACTAGGATTCATTTATCTGAATCCTTGATGTGTCTCTGTGTGTGTGTTTATATGTGTGAAAAGATGGAAATACTTAAATACAATTTAAAGTTCAAAAAGTTGTATGAGTAAAAAGCAGTGTGGAAATGAATGTAATTAAATCAAATTAGATAAATATGTAGATTAGTAATTGCTTTTCTGTGTGTTTTTTTTTCCCATCCTAAATTCCTTTAGCAGGATAGGCAATATTATTATACTTTTGCTTCTTTCAAAATTATGGTGTAGTACTGTAATTATTTTTTAATCTGTAAGTATCTGTGAAAATTAGATAACTGTAATAAATTATTTGAATGAATGAGAGAAAGAAATAAGTGATAAAACAGCAGAAAACCATGTTCCATTGTTTTTAAGCTAAACTCATCATATCCTACTCTCTCATGAATGCATTTCCTCTTTTTTCTCTTCTGCAGATCAAAGACATGAAAATATTAGGTTGCTTACATTTTTTATAACACATAAATAACTAAAAATCTTGCCAGTATCAATTGCTAAAATGCATAATCATGCTCGACAGAATGTGAAGTGATGCTAATACAAAGATATTTGATATAAAGTACTAATTATTATAATTATTCAATTTTAAATATACCTTAGGCTTTTGTTACCAGTGTGTGCTGAGACATATATTGTCCAGTTTAAATATTTTAAAAAATATGTCACCTAATTCTTAAAAGTCATTAGCTATTTATCATTTTTATGAAGGAAAATGAATAGCCCTCTTCAGAGGTATTTTATCATGGCAATATGTAACAGTCATTATCACCAATATTATTAACAAAACTAGAGGCCCGGTGCACAAAATTCTTGCACTCAGAGGGGAGAGGGTCCCTCAGCCTGGCCTGCACCCTCTTGCAGTTCAGGAAGGCCAGGAGCCCTTGGAGGATGTCCGAGTCAGACATCCTTAGCGCTGCTGTAGAGGTGGGAGAGGCTCCTGCCACTGCCACTATGCTCACCAGCCATGACCCCGGCTGGCTAAGGGCTTCTAGCTGAGCGGTGCTTCCCCTATAGGAGTGCATTGACTACCAGGGGGCAGCACCTGTATTGAGCATCTCCCCCCTGGTGGTCAGTGCACATCATAGCAACCAGTCTTTCCACCGTTTAGTCGATTTGCATATTAGCCTTTTATTATATAGGACTAGAAGCCCAGTGCACAAAAATTTGTG